GGGCGCGCCCCGGACAAGCACGGCGGGCGCCTCGCGGAAGCGGGCAGACGCGGCTGCGGCCGGGCCAGCCTGGTGTCTAACCCCCGAACGCCGCCGGCGCGTCCCGGTCCCTCTCCGGGGTGGAATGTCTCTGCCCCGCGGTTGCTGCCTGCTTTGGCAGCCACCCCCTCGGCTGGCTCAGTGGCCACCTGGCAATTACACACACAGACACACACACAAACACACACACAGCTAACCCTGCCCAGATCTCGGCAGGCAGCCCAGTGACACAAAGATTCGCCAGGTTTTCCTTTCCTTCCCCCGAAACTGCTCGGTCGGTCGGTGTCTCTTGCGTGAAGGGCAGGTGTCCGGCCCAGGGAAAGCTTGCCTGCGATTGGCCGAAGGAACGCCGGATGGGGTTGGCAAGGCCTCCGGCCTGGCAGTCGGTGGGCCCGGATTATCCTAAAGCTGGAGAACGGTGATAGGGTGGCCAAACGGCACAGGAAGACACTTTTGGATTTAGGAGGAGGGATAGAGGAGGGAGGACAGTCTTGGAGCCAGAGGCTCTGTGACTTTGGGCAGGTCACTTTCTGTGTCTGGGCCTCGGTGAAACAAATAACTATTGGCCATGGCAACCACATAGAGGGTCGTGAGGACAAAAGAGATGTGAGAATGGTCCAGATCTGAGACGATGTGATTGTGTCTTCTGGCACAGGTAAGCTTTCAAAGAAAAGAAGTCAGGGAAAATTCCTGAGCTTAACAGAGGACGTGGGGCTTAAGCAGTGTGGATGCCATAGATTAGGGCATCTGCTGCTGAGAGCCCCATTCCAAAGCTAGAGGACGATGGTCCACATCTCAGCTCTTCCTCTTATTAGACCTATTACCTTAGGCAGATCAGCTACCCTGTTTTTTTTTTTTTAATAAAGATTTTATTTATTCATGAGAGACAGAGAGAGAGAGAGAGAGGCAGAGGGAGAAGCAGGCTCCCAAGGAGCAGGGAGCCCGATGCGGGACTCGATCCCAGGACCCTGAGATCATGACCTGAGCCGAAGGCAGACGCTTAACCATCTGAGCCACCCAGGCGCCCATCAGCTACCCTGTTTTTAAGCCTCGGTGTCACTTTCTGTGAAATGGGCATGATAATAGAGCCTGCTTCCTAGGGTGGTCATGAGATCATGCAGCTGAAGATCTTGCCTTGAAAGCTTTGCAGTGCCCCCTAAACCTTAGCTATGAATATTGTTATTATCATCATGTTGAACCCTTTTGGGTACAGTGCACACTGTAGGGAGGGAAGACTCATCCAACAGCGAACAGTGGAAAACGGGTTTTATCCTTCCTAGCTGGCTGGTCTCAAACAAGATAACTTCCCTCTCTGAGCCTTAGTAGTTCATGGGGAAAATGATGATTATTATATCCACCCCACAAAGTTGTTATAAAAAATAAATAACCATATGAATGAATCCAGCACATGATAAGCCCTCACCTGATTTTGGAGAAAAATAATACTTGTGTTCCAGTTATCTACTGCTGTATAACAAACCACTTTAAAGACAGTGCTTAAAATAACAGCATTCATCTACTTTGCTCAGGAATCCACGATTGGGGCAGGGTTTGGTGAGGATGGTGTATCTCTGCTCCTTGCAGCATCTGCTGATGGGGCCCAGCTGGGGCAAGAGAATCTTCTTCCAAGATCACACACTCGTGTGCTAAGCCAGTTGATGCTGACCCTCAGCTGGGACCGTCGTTCAGGGTCTGGGTTCCTGTCAATGTGGGCCCCCTCCCAGCACGGTAGCCAGGTTCTAAGGGAAACTATCCCAAGTGATAGGAAGTGGAAGCTTCCAGTCTCTTCAGAGTTGGCCTCAGTAGTAACAGCCCACCGAGATTCAAGGGCAGGGGACTTAGACCCCGTCTCTCAATGAGAAAAGCATCAAATCATTTCCAGCTGTCTTGAATCTACCACAACTTGAAAACCTTCCTTTGTGCTTTTGCTTTTTTTACTTTTCCTGGGTGCCATGGTGACAAATTAATTCAACTTTGCAAAGAAGACCAGCAGAGATCCAGATACCCATAACTAGGGTCTTATCACAGAGCCTGTTTTGGTCCGGATCTCTTTCTCTGGGCCTGATTCCGGGCTGAAGGAGCAGCCATCCTATATAGTGGCTTCTCTGGTATCTGTTTCCTTGGAACTTCCGGGGCTTCAGTCCCCAGCTCCGCCAACCCCTTGTCTTTAAAACAAGAGGGGGAAGCCAGGACGAGGGTAATTGGGGTTCAGAAAAGCAGATTTTTCGCAGGTGGCCCAGGCTGAGGATAATGAGCATCGATGTAGCTCTCAGTTTCCTAGAGAAATCTGTTTGTTTTTCAAGAGGGTTGCTGCCTGGGTGTTTGGAGCGACTGTTGTCCTACATTATTAGGTTATTAGCTGATGGGTTGAAGTACCGTGGGTGGGGAGGGCAGGAGGCCAGGGAGGGCAGCAGGCCCCGGGAGTCGCTATGGCAACCTTCAGGTCTGTGGTTTGTGCTTTGGCTCCAAGCAGGAAGGATGTCTGAGACAGTTGAGACCTTCTCAGAGAGACCACAGACTCTCCAAAGAGAGACCAAAGTCTCTCTTTCAGCAGTAGGTTTCCACTGTAATGTATTTTCACGCATGGCCACCCACCCATGTCCTCAGAGTCAAAACCAACCCTCTTCCCATTGCCTCCTCCCAGAGTCTGCCTGTCTGCCCCAGTCTGTTATTTCCCGACTTCAATTTCAGCCACACTGGGCTGCAGAAAGAAATGGATTTTAGATTCATGTATTCATTCACACATTTAGCACATTGTTGTTGTGCGTTTATTTTGGGCCAAACCACCTTCTCCCAGAGAGAGAACAAAACAGACCCAGCTCCTCCTTCCTCCTGGGGCTTACTATCTAGAAGGGGAGATGGGCATGAGCAAGTAATCATACAAAGTCCCATGCACTGCATTGTTAATTATTAGAATATAATTAATTCAGACCTGGCTTGAACCCCAGCACTGCCGTGAGCCAGCTCTGTGACCTTGGTGTCTTCGGTGGTGAAGCCAGGATAATAATATTTACCTTACAGGGCTGCTGTGAAGCATCATCAGGGCACGCTCTGGGATGCACAGCATCTCACATGTAGCAGTAACTCCAAGTGTGTAAGCACCCACCCAGCGTCCCCTTGTCCATGGCCTATCTGTTGTTTGGAACTCACCGGCCACTTCTCTCTGTATGAGGAGCCCTGGTCTCCCCAGCTCTCTGGCAGTCACAGCAGTAAAACACCCAGACCTCACCTTTCAGAAGTTTCAAGTTGGCCAAGGAAAGACAAAAAGAACCCAAGGAGGGATGTGTGGAGGAGGGTGGCATTGGAACTGGGCCTTAAAGCTCTGGTGCTCAGACTTCGGTGTGTGTCAGAAAAACCAAAAGGAATTGCTCAAAGGCCAGACTCTTGGACCTCATCCCGAAGTGATTCTGATTCTGATTCAGTGAATCTAGGACAGGGCCTGGGAACACTGGTGCGGGCCTCCTGAAGCTCATCTGGGAGATGCTGCCTTGAAGACCGGAGGGGGGATTTGACCTTGAATAGTAGGGAGAAGAAGCCAGGAAGTGGGTGGGCCGCGAGAGCAAGGGCTGATGGGGCCTCCTCCCTGCCTTCACACTTCAGCCACCTTCTGCCCATCTTGCCCGCCCTCCACTCCGGGGGCACAGCTCCAAGCCCATCCCTGCCCAGAGGCTCTGTCATAACTCCCCACACCTCCCAGGTGACTCTACTGATTGGGCCCCATGGCTTTGGTTAGACTTTGTCCTGGAGTCAGGGTGGGCGTGGGGGACAATGCCCAGATATTTATTTCCTTCCTTACCTCCTCCACCTCCCAGCCCCTCACCCCAGCTGCCCCCCGTCTTTGGTTATCAAGCATTTATTAGTGCCAGACCCTCGGGCAGTGTGGTACCAGGCACTGTGAGTCTGCAAAAGAGAGAAAGGCAGGCCCGGCTCAGGGGCCTGGGAGCTTGTTAGACGGACATGCTCAGGCCTCACCCCAGACCTACCGAACCAGATTCTACGCGTAAACGCGATTCCTGGGAGATTCACGTCAACATTTGTGAAGCACTGCTCGGTAGGGTATTTTTTGTTTGTTTTTTTTTTAAAGATTTTATTTATTTATTTGAGAGCGAGAGAATGAGAGACAGCACGAGAGGCAGAGGGAGAGGGAGAAGCAGACTCCCCTCTGAGCAGGGAGCCCGATGCGGGACTTGATCCCGGGACTCCAGGATCATGACCTGAGCCGAAGGCAGTCGCTCAACCAACTGAGCCACCCAGGCGCCCTCGGTAGGGTTTTTAATAAGGGCAATATGGTGGCACAGTCGGCAGAATAAGGACCCCCAAATGATGTCCAGGTCAGTCCCTGGAGCCCATGGATATGTTACTTTACGTGACATTAAGGGAGATTAAGGTAGCAGAATCAAGCTTGCTAATCAGCTGACCTTTAAAGGAGACTGTCCTGGTTTATCCGGGTGGACCCAGTATGATCACAAAGGTCTTTAAAAGTGGAGGAGGGGGGCAGCAGGGTCAGAGTCAGAGAAGGAGATGTGAGGCTGGGAGCAGAGACCAGAGTGACACAGCGTGACATGGGCTCAACCTACCACTGCTGTCTTGGAAGCTGAAAGGGGGCTGAAAGCCAAGGAATGCTGGAAGCCTCTAGAAGCTCGAAAAGGCAAGGAAAGGGATTTTTCCCTAGAACTTCCAGAAGGAAGGCAGGCCTGCCAATACTTTGCTTTCAGCCCAGTGAAACTAATGTCAGACTTCTGACCACTAGACTCTAAGACAATAAATTTATGTTGTCTTATGCCGCTAAGCTGGTGGCAATTTGTTCCAGCAGCAACAAGAAAGTCATACAGTGGTCAAGAGTCTTTGGAGTCAAACAGTTCTGCTCTTGCCTAGCGATGGGGCCCTGGGCAAGTTGCTGGCACTCTTGAGTCTCCGTTGCCCTGCCTAGAAGACAGGGATAACCCTGCCTCACAGGACTGGTGCAGAAGTTAAAACAGGAAGCATCTGAAAGGTGCTCAGACCAGGTACTAAGCACATGCTCCCCAAATGGCAATGACTGCCCTCCTTGATCCTAAGTTGCTCCCACCTCTTCCCTGACTCCACCACGGCCGTGGTGCCAGGCACTCAGGGAGGTTCTCTGCTGGTTCTTTTCTTGGTCCTTGAAGCCATCTTAACTTCACACCTGGCCACCTTTGAACCTGCAACAATATTGCACCTTGCATCAGCTCCTGTGGTGTAAGCCTGTGCGAAAGTAGAAGGCCTGGGGAAGGTCAAGGCCGGCCTTCAGGATACAAGTCAGCGAAGGTCCCTGCAGTCAAATAGCAGATGGCTCATGATAAGACACTTGTACTTGTCAGAGCCCTCAGGGAGCCTCCGAGGTCTTTACCCCAACTAGCCCCAAATCGGTAGAGTAGCCAGGGGAAACCAGGTAGTGCACTATAGCAAACACCTCACCGAGCTGGCCTGCTCACCCTCCACTCTTCCTAGGGTGAATCAGACCATGGGGCAGGACCTTCTACCCTGTTTCTACCATCGTCATCATCCCCATCATCACTGTATCCTGACCGACATCAAGGACCTACCAGGCGCCAGGCACTTGCTGGACCTCATCCCCTTTGGTTCTCATAGAAGTCCATTGGTCAGCAAGGTCTGCGGTTTCTCAAGGTCACAGAGCCAGACAGTGGCAGCACGGGGATTGAGACCTGCACGGTCCGGCCCGGCGCCTCTGCCCTTAACCTTCATCCCGTGCCCTTGGGCTTGCTGCCACGTGCTGGAGGTCTTGCATGGTGCCACCGGCTCAGGGCCGACTCCACGGTCCTCCCTAGGGTGCTTCTCAGATTGCCTGGACTTCTAGGGGCCAGTGGGTGCCCAATAGCCTTGTGGCCTATGGTGCTGTTGCCCTCAAAATAATAGGCTCAGAGGGGCTCAGAAAAGCCCACCAGCCCTTCAGAGTCAAGGTTCTTGGAGGAGATGTTTATGCTGGGGGCAGACAGGGAGGCCCAGGGCTCAGTCTGACCTTCTGGGGCTGCTGTTCTCGTGGGGGTCTACAATGCTTCCGGACTGCTGTCCGCAAGGGCTGAGAGTGGGAAACCGTGACTTCAGGTGGCAGGCCTGGCGCAGTTTAGGCCCTAGGTCTTTCCAGGATGGAAGGAGCCGCAGAGGTAGACCCTGGCAGCCCCTGGGAGGTCACTGTGCCCCACAGAGCTCAGGCATTCTTGCCCTTCACTGAACTCCCCCCTCTGCCCAGCGGCAGCTCCAAGATACTATCACTTTGGGCTGAAGGACAGAGTATGAATGGGGGGAGGCAGGCCAGGGGCTTCTCTTGAGACTATGTTTTTATTACAGACTCATTACTTTGCACTAGTTGTAGGTTTATTTATTTATTTTTATTTTTATTTTTTTATTT